TTTCCCATGGGTTGCGAATGCGATTCGCGTTGGAATTGGGAAAACCGAATTTAAAAAAAAAAGAGGACGAGAATGCCTTCGAAATAGCTCTTCCATGTGATTTTCGGCGTGCTTTCCGCTTCTTCGACTGTCACGCGATTCCTTGCATTTCGATTTATGCACAGCTATATTTATATATATTCATTTACCGGTATGCGGATCTCATCAGTTAGATATTCATGGAGAATATCTTTCTAGATGAAACGATTCAAGGAAGCAAATTTTTTTTGTTGTAAATTGTTTGAACTTCGTCATCGTATCGTCGATACGTATGACGTGATATTTGTATGCATCTGAGGTGATGTGGCTGCAATTCGAATCTGCCAATTTAGATGCCGAAACGCCTTCATGCAAATTGAAGGGACGAGAGGAACATTCTCCCATCTACGACTCTCCTTTTTTTTTTTTTTAAATCGCCGGGGAGTCTTCCCGGATTGTTTATGCTAGCGCTTGCGATGCAACTCGGAGGGAAAACGCAGGAATAACTCACGCTTTCAAGCGTCACAGCAAAATATTCCAGCACAACGGGCCGGGCGATTTACCATTCTAAAAAAAACCCGAGGGGGCGGAGGGGAGGGGCGGGGAGGGGAAGAAACCGGCCGGAATCCTTCGTTGGAGGCAGACCTCCTCACCTAGAATTCGTATCCTTACAAGGGAAAGGAGACGGGGGCAGAGGGATGACCTCAAACAAATTTTTTTGGAAAGGTATATTAATTTATGTACTCCCAGCCAATGAGCTTTCACCGCTCATTCGAAAGACCAGGGTTTTGAACTCTGGCAAGGGAATCGAGCGGGAGGAGCGATAGGCGCTGGATTCCGGTCTTGAACGAGATGCCATTGAGGAAATGTTTCAAGTGTTTATCGTCTGGCTTCACTGCCTTCTTCCGAGATAATTCCAAGACTTCCGGTTCGACTAGATTCTCGCACGTCCCAGCATAAGCGATATTTCGGGCAATGCTACCCTCACTTTTTGCGAAATGGAATTTGCATCGACCTGACGCCGTTCGCGAAGGCGAATCCGGTGCAAAAACGACTCAGAGTCGGACGAAAGGGACTCCCAAGTGCAAAGAAAGAGGATGGGTGAAGAAAAAAAAAGAGGGGAAAAAAAAAAAAAAACAACGGAAAGGTAAAACCCACATGGCCACATGGCCAAGTCCTCGGAGTACATATTTACAGGCGTTCAGACAAAGGAAGCCCACAAATCCGAAGGGGAAGAGATCCATTCTGAGTGGTTTAACCAAATGTTTCAGGGAAGGATGGAATTTTGTGGTACTATTTAACATTTTTTTCATTTTTAGCCGCCATTTTATTATTGCAGAATGAGATGGATCTATTTCCGCAAAATTCCTTGAATTCGTGGTGAATTCGTGAATTTATGATTATTTATAATAAATTAATCGCATATGAAATTTGCAGCCACACACCTTCCCTTGCACATGTAGTATTGAAATTCAGCATTTCCTGCGACTTTTTTTTTTGAACGAACATCTGGGCCAAGGTGGAAACCTAGAGAATGGTTTTCCACACTTTGCTTCCTTGGCTGCTTAGTGATGCTAAAAATATTGAGATATTAAATTTAAATATTGAAGCATTAAGTTTAAATATTCAGATAGTAAATTTAAATATTGAGATATTGCATTTAAATATTGAAACATTAAATTTAAATATTGAGATATTTAATGGCGATGGTTAAACAAAATTGGGATCCTTTTCTTCGAGGTTCCTCCAACGGATCTCGAAGGGAGCCGAAAGGGTAAGCAATGGATTAGGATAATCCGGCTTTCATTCACTTATGCAAATGGGGATTTTCCATGAGGAAACATAAGTGAAGACTATTGAATCGTGACTTTTTTAAATATAAATATTTGTTACCGTGAGGATTCCTAGGGTCAGACTTCTTTTCTTACCTGAATTAACTTAAATTCCTAAAATTAAAATTACCTGAATTAACTTAAATAATCTTCAATTATGAAAGACTCTTCCGCGTTGAACTTTTTTTTTCAGTAGCTCATATCAGCATTTCCCCCGAATTTTTAAAGAACAAAGGAAATACTGAAGGATTAAAAACAAATTGTCGTACTTTGAGAATCATCGGAGATAAAATTGGCAAACGAATTTTGCACTGACTCTCAGTGCGCGCCTCCTTCAATATTGATAAAAGTCTTAATTATTTTTCTCCTCATTCTTGCACGAAAGAAGAGTGGTTGGTGATGTTCTTTGGCGAAAGAAAATGTCGATTTCAAATCGTTTCTCGATGTCCGAAAATGCAAAAATCAAATTTGCAAATCGCAAGAGCGAGTCCATCGGATTCCAAATTGCAAAGTAATTTAGCGTGCCCAAACGGTGACGAAACGTATGAGAGAAACTTGAGTTACCGACTGTTTCAGAGGCGTGAATCAGAGGTCGAGGGTCGATAAAGGTCAAAGGTCAGTAAAGGTCGATGATGTTAATTCCTGATGACCTTGAGCTAATTCCCAATTCTAGCATGATAATGAACCCGATTTGAATGCTAACGTCCCGAACCCCCGAATGACTTAATGCCACCTCTGACGCCTAATGCCACCTCTGACGCCTAATGCCACCTCTGATGCCACCTCTGACACCTGATGCCACTTCTGCCCCAGTGGGAGCCCGAGCCGGCCGCCACCCGGTGCTCGTGTTCGTCCACGGCGAGTCCTACGAGTGGGGCACGGGCAACGCCTACGACGGATCCGTCCTCGCCGCTCACGCCCGGCTCGTCGTCGTCACGCTCAACTATCGTCTCGGCATTCTCGGTGCGTGTCGCAGTCGCCCTTTCCAGAAATCATTGCAATATGCATGCTATTTTTTGTAAGCTATAATATTGCAATGTGGATGGCCTTTTTTTTTATAAGCAACAACATTGCAATATGCATGCTATTTTTTTCTATGCAATAATATTGGAATGTGAATGCAATTTTTTTTTTGGGAATTTGTGTTATTGACATTTGCAATTTTTCAATCATAACGACAATTGTTACAATTTTCGTTTTATTACACCGGTGATATTCGCCTGAGTGCAATGTAGCATTTATAAGGATTTCATTATATTTCAATAGTTGCAACCTGGCATGAAGGAATGAAAAATAAGTATGAACGAATCCAATGAGCAATTGTTGGAGCAGTCAAAATTATTAACAAATATAAATTTTAATTTTCCAAGGAAGTTTTATGCACTGCAACTAATTCCGCGGAGGAAAATTCGCGATTATGTCGATCCATGTCGAGGTCCGGGGAGTTCTTCGAAGGCTACGGCGCCGGTAAAAATAAATTAGACTGATGATGGCCAAAAAGGAAAATGAGGCTGATGATGGCCAAAGAGGAGGCAAAATGCTTGCCACTGCCTAATGAGGTCGTCGGCGCCGACATGGAACGAGAAACCGGATAGGGACGCACGTGCGCTTCCGGACCGAAAGCCGACAGTCCGGAATCCCCAATCCGCGCGAGGGAAGTGGAGGGGGGGGGGGGGGGGGGGGGG